GCGCGTTCACATGAAAGGGGTGGTATTTGGAGCATTCGACCAATCACAAACATGGACAAGCGTACTCACAGCGCAGCGTCAAACTTCCTGAATGAAAAGTGAACTTTAATATTAGACATATGAAGAAGTTAAACTTTAAATATCCATGACTTAAACATTTTATCCAGGATAAAAGCCACATAGTTGCACCTGCAAGTTGAATACAGCTGGTAACAGAACAAGTGTTTGAATGCGTACATTAACAGGTTTATGATATCACTGCCCCGTCTAAGACACGAGTGGATCTGACTTTAATTACATTTGTCTCGAGTGTTTCCTCAACTTAATGTGTTGCTTAAAATAATACTTCTACATACAGTATGTGACACTGAGTGCTGCACGGCCAGATACGGCTCAGCTGACTCAGATAAGGAAATATATGATACATTATGATGTGATATGCCGCGGACTGTACTTAATGTTACTCTGATCCGGTTACTTATGTTGTGGCAGATATTTAAGTAAGCTTTCTTAAGGCTAATGTTATAATAGTCAGATTGCTCTGAAGATGGGAGGTGATACTCTATTAATGTTCACGTCCACACAGTCGGTGATTTTTGCCGGCCATCTTTCCTGCAACGGCAGCTTTTCTGTATTTCCTTTCTCCTGTAATATGACTTGATCGCTTTAAACTCCGCACACTGAGCTCTGATTGGTCAGCAGGCAGTGCTTTCACTGAGTTGATCTCTTAGCCTGCAACCTAACCTGCTCCGGGGCAGGTTAGCCACACAGCATAAGTTACCATGGAGATCTAGCCTGCTAAAAAGAGAACCAGCGTCGTAGGACCGGAAACCGCGAGTTTTCCCTGAAGTTAGCCGGCTAAGCGAAAATCCTGCTTCGTAGTACAGGCCTCTGGTCACATGACCAATGCCAGTTTGTGTCTGTGCCAGGTGTTTGCATCTCTTAAAAATACACCTTTAAGTTACTCAGATAGGATGATATAGTTTAAATTTTTTGCACGTCCTAATTCAGAACATCCTCTCCTTCCCTCACACCTACAGTCTTGCCAGAGGCCGTATTGCTTCATTACCTCTCTAACGACATGCTGCTGCTTCTGTTATAGTTTATTTCTACAGCATAGTGGGTTCTTTGTGTTGCCCTAGGAATGTGTTGGCGTAATCTTTGCCCCTTTTGATATATATGTATTCATTGCTGCAGCTATTTTTATGCTGCAATGTATACAGTGATTCTGCTCTTTATTCTCCCCCAGGAGTGCTTGTCCCAAAACACTGTAGCTACAGTATTTTTGGATCAGGTTTATCTGTCCAAGTATACAGGACAATTTTGAAAAAAAAGGGCTCGGCTGTTTTTGGTTGTGTCAGAATATGTGGGGTGTTAAGGAAGGTCAGATGGATTGAAAGCTAACAGCGGTCCCAAATGGTGTCTTCATGTTTATTTATGCCCTACTTATTATTGCTGCTCTGCACATTTACAAGTGTAAAAAGATGGGTGTATTCAGTATTGCTTGGCTGTGTTTCGTTGCTTGCTTGCATGTCTACTTGAACTGAATAGTTGACATAGTTTACTTGAATAAGGTTTTGCCTTTTTATGTTGCTCCGCCTGGCTTTGCACTGTCACGAGAGTGTTTGGTTTGTTGCTGTTTTTCAACGATCACCTAAACCTAATTATTTTAGGAACATCTTGCCTAAGGTCTGCAGTTGGATATCAACCTGTTGGCTCACACTGGCACATTTACACAAATGTATATATGTGTTCTCCTTAGAGAAATGCAGTAAAACAAATGTTGCTTGCATCTCACCATCACACTATGGTACAGATTTTACAGTAGATGCACTGTATGGTTGCCCCTCTTAAATCTTCAGTGCAACTGGCTTCATAAAACAAAGCTCTATGTTCTAACTATATATAATTTTGTCCAAGATTGCACATGTGGTCACACCCTGTCTTTTGTATAGAAATGTCCCCTAAAACAAAAAATGTATCTAATTTGATAGAATGTTTCTCTTTGATTTACATGTATTTGTGTGTTTCATGTGTGCAGACTCACTTCTCTGTGGCGGAGACATCAGTGTGTCAGTCGGTGACCCAACTGGAGGCTCTGCAGGCTGTGGTGGAGTGTCAACAACCAGAAGCTGACCTGTACAGGTAATCCAGTCTATGTGTGCACACACCTTCTGGATAAGAGCAGGAAAAGACCAGTGCAAAGTCACTTATAGTAAACGTAGCATACACATACTGCATTAGAACATTAACAGCCAATGTTCTGCCTTTCAAATCCTCATAAAGGAAATACTCTGGCTTTATATTTGCTTTTTACTTGTAAATGTAAGTAACAACTGCAAGTATATATTAATATTTTCAATTATTTGATATTCTGGGATCTCCAAAGACCCCTGGTTGTAAAAAGCCACAACAATTCATACATGGTATAAATGCCCAGCCAGAGATGTGTTATTAAATGATTGATGAAGTGAGAAGGCTTCATCACCTCTTCAACAACCCTTCTTCCTCCTGTCGCTCTCAGCTAGCTACTTTAAGATCGATCAGGGTATTTTAGATCGGCCAGTTTGTTTCGGTGGCATTTTTGTCCCCTCCCCTCTCTCTTGGTTGCTGTGACTCTCTCTTAACCCTCACAGTGTTTACATACACTTTACTAAATCAACTAAAAAGTGAAATTCACAGGCCTTCATATGTCATTTTCCTGGAGTTGTTTTTTTCTTCTGACATCTGGAAACATTCTCAAATGTGTTCATTAATCACCAATCTGTTATTCCAAATACTGCAAGAAAAAAGTCTGTGCATGCTGCAGAGGCCTCGATCTAATACATTTAGAATATGTCAGAGTGTAGTGGAGAATATGATTGCTGACCAGCTGCACATAAACACAGGAATCACGTTATTGAAGTGCATGTAGAAGCCTCTCTCGGATTTCCGCCATTTACATTTATACTGTAACCGAGTTTCCTGTGTGCATTTGAATGTACTTACTGTCCCTCTTACACCACTCAACTAAAATGCATTTTGTGTTTTCCAGGTTTGTCGGTCGGATTACGATTACTCAGCAAGATGAGGAGATAGTCAGGTGAGACCAGATTTATCCAGCTGCTTGTAATTCAATTAACAATAGTATGTGTGCTAGATAAGCCAAACATACAGCCCAATAAGATGAACAATAAATGGTATTACATGGCTGTCAGTTGATAGGGAAGCTTTGAGCATAGGGTTACAAATGTTAAAAAAACTACTGGCCTAACTTAGCTGTTTGAGAAATGAAGCTCCTAAATTTGAAAAAAACAACTTCAAATTGCAGATATATAAGCCTTGTCGACTGTTGAGTGTTGAGTTGAGTTTATATGAATGTCCTACTGTTTATTTTCTGTGCCAAAATCACATCCATCTTTTTCTGTATTCATGTTTTTCTTTCTTTTTTTTTTATGTCAGACCGCTGGGTCCTGAGAATTTGCTGCTACGAGGAGCCAGGTTGAAAAACACCAAAGAGATTTTTGGTGAGTCAGTACAGATACAAATCAAAAGGAAAGCTTCCGTAAATGTCAAAACCTCCACCTGAGAGGGAAGCAGTTGGGGGTAAATTAAATATAACAATGGATGATGAATTAAGAAAAAATTCTATCCAATATAAATCAATTGACAAAAAAAACAAAAACAGGTTGCTTCTGAAATGCGTCCAGTGGATTATAGAAGCAACAGAGAGAGGTGACACACACAGCCAAGGTGGAACTGACACTAAAAACAATTTTATTGGACAGTATGGGAAAAACAGACCTCTCATTATCATGTGACAAAAGTATGATTATCTCAACTGTAGACTTTTATAGCAATGGCTTAGTAGTCTGTCGGTCTGTACTGTGATAAGAGGTTCAAATGTAATCAAAATGTTATCTACATTTCCAGATGGACTATATTCAAATCACAAGTTGAACCATATTTATTTAAGTCTAAATATGTGTTAAAATACCATATGTGAATAAAGTGTGGTGGAGCTGCAGAGATATCTCGGGATACAAATAGATTATTACAAGCTGAACAAAACAGATTTTACACAAATCCTCTTAAAAAAATCACACTATGATCATAATAATATATTTTGCAGAGAAAATGCGAAAATGTTCATTATTCAAAAAAAATATGCAGTTTCAATATCGGTGAAAGCTATCGTTATTTTTCACAAATCATGCAGCCCTGACTGTTATTGTGTGGCATGGAGAACCAGACTCAATGATCTACCATGCAAACATTGATCATTTCGGTGTCTCACGTTTTCATACCTTTATGTGAAGGGTTATTAACAGGCTAATGTCTTATTATTGCTTAATCCTGTGCTATTGCAGCTGTGGCGGTTTACACAGGGATGGAGTCCAAGATGGCGCTGAACTATAAGGGCAAGTCTCAGAAGCGCTCTGCAGTGGAGAAGTGAGTGTTCTGTCAGAGGAAGCAAATCTCCTTCTGTTTTAGGAGATAACCTTTACATTTAAAATATCCTCTCCTGTCAGGTCCATGAACACCTTCCTCCTCATCTACCTGGGCATCCTGCTGTTCGAGGCCATCCTCAGCACCATCCTGAAGTACGCCTGGCAGGCTGAGGACAAATGGGACGAGCCTTTCTACAACCAGAAGACTGAACAAGAGAGAAACAGCAGTCCGGTAAGTGTTCTTCGTATTAAGCCCCAGAAAGAAGCATTGATTTTCTTTTTGTAAGCCGAGCAAGCTATCAGCCGCAGAGATAAGATGAGGTGAGATTTTAGTCGACATTCCACTTCTGTTCTTGTTGCTCCACTTTAATCTCCACTCCGAATAATAATGGGCTTTCTCTCTCTACTGCAAGTATAAGGTAATAGGGGGAGTGAGTGAAGATGTAAAGACGAACCCGAGCTTGAATCCACACACACACACACACACACACACACACACACACACACACACACACACACACACACACACACACACACACACACACACACACACACAACACACACACACACACACACACACACACACACACACACACACACACACACACACACACACACACACAGATCTAGACGGGTGATGGAAGGGTGGTTTCAGTGTCTCGAGGTTTTGTAACAAGGCTTAAGTGAGGAAGTGCCTTTCATGGGGACAGTCTGCCGGCCTATCACCCTACCTGCCAACACTGATCAGTCAGGGAGAACAGCAGCCTCCCTGTCTTGAGACTGAGGGGGAAGACATCTCTGTTCATTGCACTCCCTTATCCCTGGAGACAAAGAGAGTAATACCTGTAACAAATGAATGGCTATGTTTTTACCATTAGTTTAAAAGCAACTCCAGCCCCCTGTCCCCTTTTTATAACATTAACCAAGGATTGCATGTCTCCCCATCACAGCTATCTCCTCTCTCCAGGGAATATATTGGTCCTTCACTAGACTGAAAATTATCTCAATACAAGGCCTACAGATTACAACAAGCCGAGGAAAACATTATTACAGTTGTTTTCCCTCCCTGCTTTGTAATCAGAACTATTCAGATTTATTAGGTTCAATTCTTTATTTTGTAAAGTGGGATAGGCAGAGCTCAACTGTAGGTACATGTCATAAACCTGTCTCTTTAAAGCTGCTGACACTCAATCTCTCAGTATGTGGTGCTCTCTTACTCTCCTTTCCTGTCACATACAGTAATTACCTCCATAATGGGAATGAATTACCCTGCCTGCTTTGATTTACAAGGATCATCGATCACACCACCAGTCTGTGTGGGGCTGAGATGTGTATAAAGTAGAGCTGAACATGAAATGTTATTTTTAAATGCAATATGGATAAAATACTGTTCTGAATTAAGTATAGTGGTGCTGTAAAGATGTTCCTAACAATTGTATTCTCTTTAGAAATCCGTGTTACAGATCATTGCAAAAAATCCACAATATTGTGAACATATTGCAATATTTGTCAAAATAATAGCAATAGCAATATCTTTTTTAAATTGGTTGTCCCTAGTAATCAGCACATTTGTATTCCAATGATATTGTTTTTGTCTGCAACATTGCCAAAGGCATTTCTCTATTTTCCATCTCAGATAAAGCACAATGTAAGCTGAGATAAATGACAAAAACCGATTGCGATACTCTTGTATTATTATCCTAAATGGATCAGTTTACAACATATTTCTCCAAATGCTGTTAGAGGCATTTTTTGTTATTTACAAACTTACATTTATTCCTGTTTTGTACCAAATCATCCTCCTTCTTCTCTTGTCGCTTTTTTCTGTTCTCTTTCCCTCACTCTCCATCTTTCTTCCAACTAATATTACAAACTGTTTCAATATCTTCCCCCAGAGTTCAGGTCACATTGGTTTATCTCCAGACCTTGTTTCACTTAGGCCCTCTGTCTTGTTCTCTTTTAGATCTTGAAGTTTATCTCAGACTTCCTGGCATTTCTGGTCCTCTATAACTTCATTATCCCCATCTCGCTCTACGTTACTGTGGAGATGCAGAAGTTTCTTGGCTCCTTTTTCATTGGCTGGGATTTGGACCTTTACCACGAAGAGACCAACCAGAAAGCTCAGGTCAACACATCTGACCTCAACGAGGAGCTGGGACAGGTAGGCCATGCAAGTGCCTGAACACATACATAAAGCATAAGAGCAAAGAGACATTGACTTGCATAGACATTTGAGTTTTTCAGTTAGATATGAAATATAATGCATATTACACTGCAGGAAATATAACCTTTTTGACATAACATAAGGGTTTGTATTTTATTAAATAATCAACACATACATTGTCATCCTAATAATATGAAAGGACACTCTGCCTCACATCTACTACTTGAATAATCCTCTTATTTATTTTCTTAGGTGGAGTATGTGTTTACAGATAAGACGGGTACGCTAACGGAAAACGAGATGCGCTTCCGTGAGTGTTCAATCAATGGCATCAAGTACCGGGAAGTTAACAGCAAACTGGTGCCGGAGGGAATGACTGACGATTCACCAGACGGTTCTACACCTCACCTGGTAACTCACATATGAATTTAGAACATATACACTGTTCCCAATTCTGCCATTTAACGAGCACCACCGAAGGATATGATTAAAGGGGCCCTATTGTGCTTTTTAGGGTTCTCCTTTTTCTGTACTGCGTAATATAGGTTTTTGTGTATGGAAATGATCTGCAAAGGCTAAAATCCCAAAGTTCCATCCAGAGAGAGTTTCTCTCCCACACACTGATCCCCCCTACCCCCCGCCACCCCANCCCCACCCCCCCTACCTGAAATGGTTTCCTTTGTTTACTTATGTAACATAGTGACATCATTATGTAACACTTGTGTTTCTATTGGCTAGCGCTCTAACAAATTGTCTGTGAAAGCTTAAGGGGTGGGACATCTCTAAGCTGTTGACCAATCACAACAGAGCCGGCCGGGAAAAGACAAATAAAGACTTTTTGAACAGTAAAGCATGTAAACATGTTACGGCAGAGGAACAAAATACAAGTATGAACCTGAAACTTTGCATAAAAGAGACCCTTTAAATTGTCATTTCATTGTCTATTAGACAATGATGTTATAAGGAAAGACAATTGGCCTAATGGATTTATCCCTGCTGCAGCATAAAATGCACAAAATGATTGACTTTTAATCACATCTCCCTTATCTTTACAATGACAGTTAACATTCTAACCCCTTCCTGTTCTCTTTTCATCCAGATGGGTGAGGAATTATTATTTCTCAAGGCGGTGTCCTTGTGTCACACGGTTCAGATCAGCTACGATCAGCCAGACGGGGGCGGAGACCCATTTTCCCATTCAAATGGTTTCTCTACCAATCACATAGAGTACTACGCCTCTTCACCCGACGAGAAAGCTTTAGTAGAGGCAACAAAGAGGTGAGGGTACATTAAATTCAGCTAAAATAGCTGATTTGTGCATGCTGACTTAGAAACCAAGAGTGTTTTCGACATTCTCAGTTTACTCACAGCACTCCTACTTTTTTCCTGCTGTAACCCTTGTTTTTGAGGGGGGTTTTTTTTGTCACGATTTAATGTACAGTGAAAACCCTCTAACAAATGATTGTGTAAAATGTCTCAAATACATTAATAGAAAGAGACCAGATTCTCTTATCCCAGTTAGATAAAGATGGAAGCTGCAAAACTCTTCCGGTTCTAGGAAGGACGGAGCATTTATGAATGAGAAATGAGGCTGTGTACATCTAAATTGCCAACTATAAGGCTTCATTGGGCAGGAGTCAGGGATTCTTGCCTATGCCAATTCATTGCATCTAATTGAATTATGGCATGCAGTGAGGGTTGCACCCATGACCCAATGCCTTCATGCTCCATTTGGCCCCAGACAGTGCATCTGTTCTGTTTTGTTTTTGTGTTTTAATTCAAACTGAAAGCAGACACAGTTGGAAACATAACCTCAATATTCACCTGCAAACATAACACCTGTTACAACACCATTTATTTTAAAAGGCGTCACAGTTGGTCAGATTACTCAACACATATTGGTATTACATATCTTTGGACTTTATTCTGCTGTTATTGGTATTCTGTATTGTGATTTGCCAATTCCTTAATAATGAGAGTAGTGCTGTGACATGTTAAGTGTACAACCCCATCCAGGGGCCTCATTTATAAACGGTGCGTACGCTCAAAAGATGGCGTACGCCAGTTTCTACGCAATGTTTGCGATTTATAAAAAACAAACTTGACAGGAAAATGTGCGGTCCTCCACGCAAACTCTGACCCATGCGTACGCACTAAGCACACAAACGGGAGAGACGAGAAACTGCGACACCGTTAGCAGAAGGAAGAATGGAGAGAAATATGTGGAAATAATACCATAAATAAAATGTTACCTCTCATTTATCATATATGAAGAATTCATT